ACGGAAGGATCCAGGGGTTGGACGCACGGCCCTGTGAGGAGGGACTCAGGCAGCTGGGCACGTCCAGCCTCGAGAAGAGGAGACCGAGGGGGACATGAGATCCCTCCATAAGCCCCTCCAAGGCTGCCCCAAAGAGGAAGGCCAGGATCTCTTCTTGCTCATGCCAGAGTGCAGGACACGGAATAATCATTTCAAGTTGCAACAACCCAGATTCAGGCAGGACATCAGGAAAACCCTAACCCTTACAACCACCTCCCCCGCCCATCATCATTTTCGTCCCCCCACTGCTGTCCCACTCCCTCTTCCATCACATGCCTTGGGCCAAGGGTGGCCATCCCCTCTTTTTACAGAGGAGTGTTCTCAAACTGAAAATTCAGGGGCAAAGACGGAGGACGTGGCAGGGAAAGTCGGACCGAGTCTTTTAATAGCTCGTCCGACGCTCCTCCACGCCGGGCCGCCCAGGGCTCCCGAGCCACGCAGCTTCTCCGAAGGTGAAACGCACTGCACTTCTCCTTAACTTAGGAGAGTAATTAGCAAACTAATGACTGCTGTGCGACTGGCACCTGTGAAATTAGCATATGCAAACGTGATGCAAATCACGGGCTTTGTTTGTGACGAGCCACAGGTGGCCACGGTACTCCTTCTGGAGGCCCCAGCCGGTCAGGAATCTCACAGTGGGCTGGCCGTGTGAGCGGCCAGGGGTCAAGGCCGGACTGGGAGTTGTGGGCTCCAATCTCAGCTCCGCCACTGAGTTCGGGGGGCTCCCGGGCGGCCCCTGCCTCTCCACCGTCCCGCTAGGGTGCCGGCTAGGCTTGCCTGACGACGATTCCTGGTGGTCCCATCCAGGGGCCTGTGCCCCTGGCCCTGCTCTCTGCAGAGGCGTTCGCTCCCTTTTGGAGCCACCCCCAAAAAGCCCCTGAAAGGCTGGGGGGCCTCTTTAGCCATGGGCAAGGGGCTGACGGCCACGTCCTCCTTTGGGCTCACCATGAAGGGATTTTAAGCAAACGTTCCGACTCATTGCGGAGACTAATGAAAAAGTACAAGGAGGGGCGCTCTTTTTTTTAAATAAAAAGTCAAAATGGAAACCCAATGGAAGCCCACTCAGCCGCACTTCGTTCATTAGGAAACGGATGCCGTGGGTAGCGAATGGGCACAAACGGGCTTGATTGTCGGTAACGAGGCGACGTCCGGAGCGCTGCAGGGACGCCACCAGACACAGGCGGGGGGGGGCAGGGGGGGCGGGCGCGCAAGCAAGAGCAACGCAGGCGCCGGAGGGAGTGGAAGTGACGCCAGCAACTGAATAATTCACGACCTGAGATTTCAATGAATGAAAAATGAAAATTATTCATTATTCATTTCAAATGAAGGAAAACAAATGAAAGAGCCATTTCTTGAACAGCCCTAATTGCAATGCAGAAAGCGTATTTGATCGGAGGGTGCTACGTGGGGGGGGGTAGCGAGAGAGAGACAGAATGAGATTTGTCCACAACTCCTGAAGAGGCGGCCAATACACAAATAGCCCTGAAAGTGCCCTGGGTTATTTCTGCGCCGGGCTTCTCCTGAGCAGCTCCTGCACTGCCTCAGTCGCTTCCTCTGCTAGTAACCTCTGCCCATGCGCAGGGTGATTATTGCTGGATCCTCAGGGATTTCCTCGGATTCACACGCACCAGCACCAGGGTGACCCCCCCCCCCCCGGTGCTGGCTGTAGCCCTCGCAGTCGGGCGCATCGGCAGCCGGGCCCAAAGGTCACTTCGCCCCGGCCAAACCCAAACCCTAACCCTAACCCTGCCCCCAGCATGCTTCCCAAACAAATCTTTCTCACTAACCATTTTTTGGGGCACACACGCTTGAAAAGAACATGAGCCCCCCAAAAAAGAAAAATGCGGGAATGGCAAATGAGCAGCCCCCCCCCCCCCGGCCCACGGAAGGGGGGAGAAACCCCCTTGGTTATGCCGAGGCGGCCGTTTGGGGGAAGAGCGGCCTGGGATGAGCCAGATGTGGGGCTGCGGCTAAACGCGCCGGACCTCAGCCATGCAGAAGGGCTGCCTCCACAACCACACCACCCACGCCAGGGCTCAGCTGTGCTCTGGGGCTGCTGGGTCCTGCCTCCAGGAGCACAGAAGGAGACTGGGGGCCAGAGGCGCAGAGCGGGGGTGCTTTGGCACCGAGGGAAACCCAGCTTTTGAGACTCGGTACGAGGGCGGGCAAGGAAAGTCGGGCGCCGCTGGCCGGGGCAGCAGCGGGAACCACTCCTGGGCCCTCCCGGCTCCTCACCGCCCCAGGTGCTCGGGTCCCCCGGCCAGCTCCTGCCGGGCGGGCGTGACTGGCCACGGGCACAGCAGGGACTCGTGGCTCGCCTCATCCTTCCTGGCCTAACCTTGCCTGTGCTGCGCCGGCTGAAAAGCACTGACCAGGCAGGCACTTTACTGAGCTGGGCAGCGCGGAAGGGCCCCCCTGGCACCCTCCCTGCAAACGTCCCTGGCACAGTCTCCCCCACCCCCAATTCCCAGCACTCCGCTGCTCCGAAGCCGCCCCAGGCCCACGGAGGCAGCCGGGAGCTCGGGCACGGCAAGCCGGCCGGCCTCGCGCCTCTCCCTTGCCTACGTGACTCCGGGCTGGTTGCTTCCCTGCCGTCGTGTCCAGGGTCACGTGGGCAGAAGTATAAAAAGCTTTACCCTAAGACCATCTTAGCCTAATTGCTTGCTGATGCATGAGCCTGCTTTAGCCAGGAAGCGGAGTGGTCTGGTGATCCGCTCTCGCTCTCGCCCGGCTTTCTTCCCGCTGCCTCGTCACCGCTTCACTGTTCCCGGCGTGCCGCCAGCGAGACGGGAAGGAAAAGCGAAGGGTGCTCTGCAGGAGGCTAATGCTCTTAGCTCCCGTGCCAGAGGCCGTCACCCCTGGCAGAGGGCAAGGAGGCCAACGGAACTGGCCCCGGGAAGGGAGCGTGGGGCTTCGCGTCTGGGCCACGTCTGGCTCCCTCTGGAAGCCCATGCTGCCCCCGAACTCGGCCCCGCACCCAAGTGCAGGCGAGGTACGCACTGAGGTTTCGTGCCGTCTTACTCTGAGCAGGAAGCTCCTCTTTGGAGCAGTGCATCCTCTGGCCAGAGAGGCAGTTGGCTGCGCCTCCCTGCAGCTGCCTGCCTCTCTTTATTTTATTGTATTTTAGAATTTGCATGCCGCCCACCCCTCCTGCCGCCCTGCAAGGCGACCAGCAGTCTGCCCGAGGCCACAGTTGCCGGCCCTGGGGTTGCTCGGCCACGCAGTGTGTCTGGACAGAGCCACCTTAGATGCTTTTATTTCAGCAAGAAAAGCGGGGAGCCGGTGCTTAAACATAGAGTAAAACGAATCCACTGCAAAGGGGAAAATACCTTCAGCTGAGGGGAGCCCCTGAACTTTCTCCGGCCCAGCTCGGCAAGGCCAATCACACTAGCGCTTGGAGACGTCTCCTCGGCACGTGGTGGAGAGCTGATGTGCCAGGGGGTCCCTCTGGACACGGCTGCAGGCTCCTCGGGGGATGGGCGGCTCTCAAGCAGCAGCGAGACGGCCGGCCGGAAACACGGGGCAGCTCTGGGTGGACTGGACCACTCCAGGACAAGGGCTGGAGAGGCGCCTCCCCCGAAGGGCCACAGTTCTGCACATCAGGCAGAGAGAGTAGCTCAGGAGGCGCGTTTAAGGCCGCGATCCAATCCCACGCACGGCTTCTCGGGAGCAGGAGCACTGAGCACGCCAGGAGGGAGTTCTGAGAAAGTGTGTGCAGATCTGCTCTTTTACCCTTGATTTCTCCCAAATGGGTAACTTTCTAAGCTCCAGGAGGTGGCTGTTACTTAAGTGGGGGGCGTCTCAAGCACGAGCCGCACACACCGGCTCCTCAAGCTGCCCGGTCCAGCAGAAGCTGCGTCCGGCCATCGCCCGGTCACGCCTTCCGGCTGGCGGAAGGGCCGCTGCCCGGCTGGGTCGCACTGGCCAAACGTGGATGCCACGGATGGCGGGCTGCATGGACCGAAGGCCCGTGTTGTGGCAGCAGTGCCTGTTCCCCCACAGGTCTGGGTCAGCCAGGTGACACCTGTGCGGCTGTGCGGCTTCCAGCCCACGGAAGCCACACCACACGTGTGGCTGTAGCGGCTTCCATAACACGCCGAAGACACGGACATTTGTGGCTGGTGAGCTCTGGGCAGGTCGCAGGATACCAAGCCAGGGCAGGGCCAGCCAGACGCCAAAGCAGACCTGCCCCCCCCAACCCCACCCGCGGAAAAGATTTAAGATGCAGCAAGTATGTGGAAGAGGACAACGAGGAGGGAGGGACGGACGTACGGACGGACGGAGGGAAGGCGAGGCGCAGCGCCAGTAGGGCGATGGACTCCCACGCGAGGATCTCCCCCCTGGACCAGCGCAGAGGCTGCTGGGAGGAGGATGGGCAGGCGCCGCCGCCTCCCGGGAGAGCAGGGGGCGCGGGCGTCCCCGTGGGCAGAGCACGGAACGTGAAAAGCACCTTTTCCGGAACTCGAAGCCGAGCCATGGTTCGTTTGCGCGCCTTTCATACGCAGGCGGCGGCGGCTCCCCGGGGGACGGGCCCGCCACGGGGGTGGGGGTCTGCAGCGCGGAGGGCGGGCAGGCCAGCGCGGGAGTGGGGGGCGCCCCGCGTGATGCGCCGCCGGTGCCGGGCGCCCTGCGCCGCCCCACGCGCCGTGTTGCCCTGCAAGAGTCTGCGCCCGTGCCCGAGGTATGGATCGGGGTGCGCGCCCTCAGCCGAGCGCGTTGCCCACGCACGCCCGCCCACGCCCCGGGGCAGGAGCCCTTCCCAGTGTCCCGGGCTGTGCAGCTGCTGCGGCCAAACAGAGCGTCAGGACCGTCCCCGGCGCGGAGGGGCGTCCGGGCAGGCGCCCCCTCCCCGA